ACAAGTGGAGCAATATGGCAATTGCCATACTGCTACACTTGTGAAAGTAAAATCTGTTGGGCTCTTTTTGGCATCAAGACAATTATTCTTATTGCCACATTGCCAGACAGGACACTGTAAAAAAAAAAAAGCTACAGTAGAACTGCAGTCAGTCCCTAGAGTGGCATGGCTATCACTACCCCTACATAGTTAGAGACAAATGCAGAGGACTAATTTCTCACTGGGATCAGCTTCATATTCATGGTAGGCCACTTCTTTGATTTTATTTTGCTCAGGCTACTCGTAAACCGGCAACCCGCCAAATGTTGAAAGGGCAATATCATTGCCTTTACTGTTAATATAAAGTAGAAATTTTACACATTTAGTAATAAAATGTCATAGGGGATGGTATTGGGGGGGTCATTTGCGAAGGGGGAGGATTTTTTTATACTTATTTTAGAAGAGGGATGCCATCTCCCTCCTCCCCCCTTAATTTGAGTACTGTATATATATATATAAACGAATAAACGAATAGTTATTATCTGGAATGTCCCAGAATTTGCATAGCTGGACAGGACCAATGAGAGACCAACCTTTTAGCAGAAAGAAGTGTTTGATTGCTAGTAGAGAAAATAATATTTAGCCTTTTCCTAATGGCTTCTGGTGATCCATCCATCTTCTGCTACTGTCTATGTGACAGGTGCCCATTTCCAGCAATCTATGAGCAAAAGGCAGGATACCACCTGGACAGGTCACCAGTCCATCACAAGCCAACACAACATAACTTTATTTGTTAAAGTACAGAGAAATATTCCCGAAACAGGCTTGGGGTATCAGATTGGGGTAATCATTTTAAACTTATGAGTCATATTATAAATAACAAAAAAAGTTAAAAAAAAAACAGGCCTGAAAGGGAGTGGGAAGAAGAAAAGTTATTAAATCCCAGCCCGATGGTCATTCATAGTAAGTATATATATATTTCCAGCTACGGTACATTTTTTTTTCCTTAATGGCAACTTAGAACACACAATTGTAGGAGGAAAAGCAAGCAAATAAATAAATTGATTTTCTTAATTAATCTTATTCTTCTTATTTTTTCTTAATTGTCAATTAACTGTTTTTAATTCCCATTTGACAACTGCGTAAGACAGACAGAGAGTCCCACCTGAGGCTCATTTGGGGATCAATATAGTTACATTTGAATCCATATGTGTAAGCAACCTTCATGTACCTTTTGTTTATTGTTTTATTTCCTATTTAGGTTTCGCATTTGGAGCTTTCTGTTTGTAAAGGTTTGGGGTTGGAAATGTTGGTGTTGGTGCTTTTACACCTACGGCAAAGATTTCACGGCTGAGTGTCAGAACACTGTTTTCATATGCAAGATGTAAAAAACTTTCCACCAACTTGTTGGAACAAGTTATCAGCGTAGGCGAACCTTGACACTGATTTTATGGAGGAAAGGGTAAAGAAAAGAAAAAGTGTTCTGTCAGGAAGTTTGACAACACCACATTTGTCACAACTCATTGTATAGACTTTAATGTACAGGAATATGTAGAATCATATAAACAGCAGGAGAATAATTAAAATGTATTTTTTTGTGATATTTATTTGTTTTGTTCCGTGTTAGGATGAAATTGTATAGCTTCAGGAGAGGAAAGTTGTGTCCAACTCAGAGTATAACTTACCTCAATTTTAAAAGTTATTTTTATTTATTTGAATTAAAACAATGACATGTTTGTTTT